CAATCTCATTTAAAAAGACCTGTTCACACAATGAATGCCTAGCAATTAGTGTTACATTTACAAAAGAATACTTACTGCCTTCCCAGGTACACTGCAACAGATTAAGAGCACCTTCTATCCGTTTCCAGTGCTGAAGATGAAAGAAAGCATAAGCAACTGCTTCACTGTCACCCCGTTTCAGAATATGTTCTGGTGGTAAAATCAAACTTTTCATTTCTAGCAAATACTGCAAGAACAACATATACATACATACAACAGAAAAAATTATATTGTGCTTAGTTCAAACATCTACAAAAACATTCAAAATGCTATAAAATCAAATCGATATTTAAGTCAAATTGATTTTTTAAAAATTTATATACATTAAAATAGTGCAAAAGACATGAAAGATCTTCTGAAAATTTGTTTATAAAATGCTTGTACATGCAAATTATATTTTTATAGCAATTCTAAAAGTCAGAATGATTCTATAAGTAACAATATGGTAAAAAATGTTCTATGTGACTTTGCTAAATACAAAATAGAAACTCAAGCTGAACAAGTAATTTGAGAACAAATATTTATTTTCCAAAAATGAATTATTAAAATTATAACACAATTTTTGGAATAATACCTTGTGACAATATTCAATTTTCTTTTTTTAATTTCCATTTTATAGATTAAAAAAATGTGGAAAAATTCAACTGAACTTATTATAATAAGTGCAAAGCATTATGCTTGTTAGAAAAATACTACCACCACCAACAAAAATATCTTCCCTGTTCTCTGAGCTTCATAATGTAATGGGAAAGAGTTCTTAAGTAAATAAATATAGCCAGACTGTGATGAATATCTTATCAGAGGCATAAACAACATACATGGATATATGTATACGTAATATTTTTGTTTTAAAAGACATCTTTGAGATAGAATTGACATACCTTAGAACTCATTTATTTAAAGTATACAATTCAATGTATTATACTCACAGGTATATGCAACCATTATCACAGTCAATTCTACAACATTCTTATCACTAGAGAAGGAAACCTGGTACCCTCTAGTCACCACTCTCTACTCCCGCGGACCCCAGCCCACAAACCAAGCACTAACTTATTTTCTACCTCTATAGATTTGCCTACGCTGGACATTTTATAAAAATGGGATTCTATTATATGTGATCTTTTGTAGCTAGTTTCCTTCATTTAACATAATGTTTTCAAGGTTCATCCAGATAGCAGAACATGGGGCTGGTGAGATGGCTCAGTGGTCTAAAGCACCTACTTAGAACAAACTTAGCAAAGCGCAGGGACCGTGGTTCAATCCCCCAGCACCACATGCCAGCCAGCCCCGCCCCCTGGTGGGCTGAGCTGGACACACACACACACACACACACATACACACACACACATAAATAAATAAAATTTAAAAAAAATAAAGAAACAGATAGCAGAACATATCAAATATCTCATTCCATTTTGTAGTCCAGTATTATCCCATTGTATGGCTATATGGATATACCAAAATTTGGTTATCTATTCTTCAGCTGACAAACACACCATGTCTCTTAGGTTGTTTTTACTTTTTGGCTGTTATAAATAATACTGCTATTATCATCTGTGAATAACTTCTGGTATAAATATATGTTTTCATTTCTCTTAGATAAAAAACCCTGGAGTAGGCCTTCTGGCTCACATGATAATTATATTTAGAATGTATTATGATTTACAGCTCTAAATAAACCACTTGATGGGATTTGAGCTGAGATTTAAAGATAGGTAGTTATGTGGAAGAGCAGCCTGAAGGAGAGAATGGAGAACAGGGGAGCACATTCAAAGCACAGGCCCATCTTGAAGACAGGCCCTGAACCAGAACAGCACAGATATACACAAAGGATTGGAATACATACCTCTTACGCTCCAGCGATTTTTCTTCACATATGAAATGAAATTCTATTTTTGACTCTTGAAGAAAATACTTGTTCTAATATAACTGATACCAAAAGCAGTATAATCACAACTATAATACTAATCAAGGATACTAGTTATATAAAGAAAGACACAAAATCAATCACTTGAATATCATCTTTTTACAAGGTGGGAAACCATAAACAAACCTTCAAAAAATATTTTTAGTTAGCTAAGTCTTTCCTCCAAAAACTAAGGCCACAATGCATTTTCCTTCCAGAGTAGGTTTGAAACAACCTCTTTGGTTCTAAACAATTTGATAGTAAGTTATGTGTCAGATCCTATTAACTTTTTTTAAAATTTTATTTTTATTTATTTATTTTTCCATAATTTTATTGGGAAACAAATAGCAATGAGACAGTTTCAAACCAAATTGATAGGGCAGTTTCAATAATTAACACATTGCATACATTCTTCCTAGTGATTAATTGCTGTACAAGATGTGGACATGATATTCTATTTACAAGCTATTAACTTTAATTTTTTTTTTTAGGGAAGGGTCTACAAGGTGTTCAGGGTCCTCGCACTACTAGACTGGACTCATAGTGATCCACCACCTGTTTACAGCCTCCCAAGAGCTGGGATTATAGGCGTGCGCCACCACACGCCCAGTCTCAATTGCCATCTCAGTGCGCCTCAAGGGCAGGGCTGGGCAGGGCCCGCAGAGCAGGCCTGGGAATGAATCCCCATCCCCCCCTTGCAGGCGCTTTAATCTGCTGAGCTATTTGGCTGGCCCTTAACTTCTATTATAAAATATAAAAAGAGATTCCAGATGTGTCTCAAAAGACAGATTCTTACACTTCAAATTCCAGTAGCCTGGGTTATTATACAAACTGAAAATACCAATAAAAGGGCCAAATTTATGAAATAATTTATAAGACTGCTACAAACAATAAGACTCTGGAGAAAATCCTAAAATAAAAAGTTTGTACTGGTTTTGAAATTTAAACCTTAGATTATTAACTAGTATGTATACTCATCAAATACATATAAAACAATTTTTTTCTTTATTTACAAAAGTATTACTGAGCTTAATGCCCATCTTTAATTGCTCTTACTCTTGATGTCTCTGGCTCTGTTCTCAGAGAATGTGTTAGAATGCAGTTCTGCTCATCGATTTATTTTAGCAGATGTCACAAACTATGAGATTATTTACTAATCCACTTGGGGGACTTAACATTTCCTATTCAGTTTCTTAAAGGAATGCAGCAGAGGTTGTGTCCTGGTCAAGCAAAGCCCATTTGCTGCCTGGTTGGGTCCTCTTCCCTTAGTGCCTTGGGCTTATATTCAGGAGGGTAATATTTTTTCTAATCCTCTCTAATCCTTGCCCATTTTTTGAAACACAGTAAAAGATCACTCCTACTAGGCAGCTATGGGAAAATGGACTCAAATAGCTGACCTCTGACATGACTCCTCATGTTCTTTGTAAGTACCCTAAAAGCTTCTTCACTAGGTAGCAAACAAAATTGGGACTCACAGTGGATAACCATCACAAAAAGATTATCTCATTTTCAGAAGAAAATTCTTTACTCTTAAACCAAATCCTTATTAAAATTCTGCTTTATTTTACAGATACAAAGAAAAAATTCCAAATGATGCCAGGAACTTTAACTCCTAAAATGGCAATCATTTTTTATACTGGCAACTACATCTTTCCCATCAGCAAATATCCTTTTCAATTTGAATTTACAGCAAAGCGTTTTTTCAGTTTCTAATTTGATAAAAATAAAATCCCAAAATATAAGGAAAAATTTTTAAATTAAGAAAAATGTATTTAATGGGGTGGGGTAATGGGCAGTGATTAAGCACCTCTTCGATATGTACAATGCCCTGGCTTTCATACCTAAGCGTGTGTGGGGGCACATATACACAAACATTTAAAGTAAGTCACAGGATTATTACTTTTTTCTCCTTCATAAACTGTTATTCAGGACTTTCTGCTACTCAGTGTAGGCCACTGGTTACTGCACAGTAGAAAGCATACCCTTCATATTCTACTATAGTACCTAGCATATAATTCAACTCAAGGTAGGCATTAACAAGCTTATTAACTGAGTTGATCCGATAAACATAGCTAAAATGTCTTCGAATTCATATTTCAGTTTTTACTTAAAGATATTTTCTATCTCTGAGCAAATTAAAACCAAACCACAGCAAAAACACCTATCAGATTTTACTGTATTTTTTAATAGTGCTAGGAATCAAAGTCTTTACCTTTCTTTTTCTCTTTTTGTGGTACCAGGGATTGAACTCGGGACTTTGCACTTAATAGGCAGGCATTTATACCACTGAGCTAATCCTTGGTACTTACATTTCTAAGACTATGAAAAGTTAAAAATAGTGCTAGTTTATTTTCTTTTTGTATTTTATTTCTGCCTAGAAAAGTACACTCAGTGTACAAAACTGCAAACCTAACAAATATAATTTGTGTTTGTCTAGATTTCTTTTTCTTGGTGCTTTTTAAAAATTTTTTTGGTGGGACCGGGGATTGAACTCAGGCCCTTGTGCTTGCCAGGGAAGTGCTTATTCTACTGAGCCATCTCCCTGGCCCCTCCATTTCTTATTTATTTATTTATTTATTTATGTGTGTGTGTGTGTGTGTGTGTGTGTGGCCAGCTCAGCCCACCAGGGGGCAGGGCTGGCTGGCATGTGGTGCTGGGGGATTGAACCGTGGTCCCTGTGCTTTGCTAAGCTTGTTCTAAGTAAGAGCTTTAGACCACTGAGCCATCTCACCAGCCCCTCGATTTCTTTTTTAGAGACAATACATGCTTTTGTTTTATGGTTGTGCTGGGGATCAAACCCAGGGCTTTAGGCATGTACTCTTACCACTGAGCTAAACCTCATTCCCATGAATAATATACTGATTACATTTTTCTGAAAAAGTATATAAAACTATAATGCAACTCACTCTTTATATATCTTATGTATCTCTTTCGCTCTCTAGACCTAACATTTAAAATTATATAGTAATCCATTAAAAACTGAGTTGCTTCATGAGAAAGATCATGCCAAAATTGTCATACTATCCTAACATAATTAACAAAAAAACCATGCAAGTTAAAATGGCTGAAATTTTTCAAGAAATGATGGATTTAAAATTCTACTTTTGTGAACACAGATAGGTTTCTGAAAGCAACATAGTTTTAAACTACAGACAGATCTATTTGTCAGTGTTTGCTGGGTGTTTGTCATCTCTAGGTAAGGTGTTGCACATTAAGTGGTGAATAAGACAAGAACTCTCATCTTGTTTACATAGAATAAGGAGAGACATAAAAAACAAGACTTAATCCCAACAAATAAAAATGGTATGACTGAAGTATTAAAGGAACAGAGAAAAGAAAACCATTATCTCTACTTGGGAAAGATTCCTTTAAAAAGGAGACAACAGATGAGTCGAGGGCTGGGAGGCAGCTCAGTAGAATAAGCGCTTGCCTGGCAAGCACAAGGGCCTGAGTTCAACCCCCAGTTCCACCAAAAAAACAAAAAAAAAAAAAAAAAACCAAAACCACAGATGAGTAGAGGCTTAGATTTTTTCGGTTTTGTTTTTTATTTGTTTGTTTGTTTTTACACTACCAGGGATTGAACTCAGGCCCCTGTGCTTGCCAGGCAATGCTTACTCTACTGAGCCACCTCCCCAGCCCTTAAAGACAGGGACTGTTTTGCTTTTTGGGGTTTTTTTGGTAGAACCGGGGATTGAACTCAAGCTTATTCTACTGAGCTATCTTCCCAGCCCAAGTGGAGGCCTAGAGAATGAGTAGGAATTTGTCAGGTGGGGAAATGACAGAGTAGTTATATAGTGGTAGTGATTTTGACAAAACATGCCAATCATGGGAGCCCTGACAGTGGAGATAAGGAGCAAGTAAAAGGTTAGAGACAGATACCTGGACCAGAGTGTAGAAGGATACCATGTGTAACACTAGGTGTTGGTCTTTATCCTACAGGCAAGAGGAAAATAGGTAGAGGTCTATAATTAGTGAAGGTAAGACAATTAGACAACTCTGGCAACAGCTAGAGAGAAGAGGAGCTGATGGGAAAAAGAACAGTGAGGAATCTGTTCTACTAGGTAACATAAAGCTGGTAAAGTCTTTGAGATGATTTCTATATCTATTTGTTTACAAATGCATAGAAAATACCTGGCAAGCTATAAAAACAAACAGAAATAGAGGTTACTTAAAAGAAGAGTTGAGAGAATGAGGGCATTTTCACTTCATAAACTTTTCAAGTGTCTGCACTGTTTTTGTAAAGCCCCCATTACTTTAATAATAATGACAATAATAATGTATGTTTAAAATATAGGTAGTAAAGGTACCCAGTGGTCAGTAAGAACAGGGGTAGCTAGTTATGAAAAAATGTTTCAAAGGTTATGAGTTGGTAATTTTGAAAGAGAGAGGTAAAGGCTAATGAAAAAAGATAATAAAGCTCTAATTCAAAATATATAAATAAAGAACAGGCAGTGTAGAGAAAAATAATAAAACTTCAAAATTAGGGGCCGGGGAGATGGCTCAGTGGAATAAGTGCTTCCCAGGCAAGCATAAGGGCCTGAGTTCAATCCCCGGTTCCGCAAAAAAAAAAAAAACCTTCAAAATTCAAAATTTTGAAACACATTAAAATATTTAAAGTACTTATTATAAGGATTTCCTCAACTAGAAGAGAAACAAGTCTGTAGGTGTAAAAGAAAGCCACAGTTAAATTACCAGCAAAGAAAACATAGTTGAAGACTTAAAAGCCAGTATCTAACATACTGCAAGATATTCCATAATATATCTGCAATAAATCAAAAATTGCTTAGGTCAAAACTAGTGTCCAATTAACTAATTTAGTCCCTTGCTTTTTACTGCAAATATAAAAATAAAAACTACTTAGGAAGCTGTAATTAAAAAAAAAAAAAAGACGTAATAATATATAGTCATATGGTCTCTCTCTTTCTGTCTCTTTTGTACTGCCCAGGATTGAACACAGGGTCTCGTGCATGGACGGTTTCTTTCATAACTTTAAAACCATACCTATGCTTACATTCAAATTCACTTTAATTTTGAATGGCTTTGATCTTCATAATTTTTCTCTAGATTACTTTTTGTAAATCTTAGAACAGCTTTTGACCAAAAGCAATATAATTCTGACCTGAAGTAATGATAATGCTTTATAATCTTCCTCTTAAAAGGAGAGGTTAAAGAAAAATCTCTCTGAAGACATCTGAAATTAAGGTACTTTGCTCTTGATCAGTCATGCACACAAAGAACCAATTTATCTCTGCAATTAGTGTTCCCAGTGCACATTCTATGAGATTGAACAGGCAGGCTGAATGCAAAGAGTCCACGTGGATATGTATTAGGGGAGACTAAGACAGTTCCCAGACAGGAGCAAACAGAATTCCTTATGCGAATAAAGTAAGGAAGGTATAATACCATCTAACAGTCTCAGGAACAAAAGAAGCGACTTTATATGGAAGGGAAAAGGGAGGGAGGCCACAGGAAAATTCCTATCTGTACACTGTTTAGACCCACACCTCAAAAGAAGCATTTATCTCAACTCTTCTACTTAGGTCACAATATAACATAATGGAAAGGCAAAGTCTTGTGCTTTAAGATTGGTCACTGACCTCAACAACATTTCCCCTTTTCTCCTTTTACTCCCGCTATAATACCCAGAATTTCAATTCAGTGAGAACTACCACTGATCTGGGTAGTTTAGCCAATGAAATTCAGTGGCTTGCTACGAAAGAGGTACTATCTTCTATAGAGGATAAAATTCAGAATATCATACAGGGTTCTATTTCTGGCCAACCACAACAGATTTTACTTTCTATGTATTATATCAACTTATTCTAAAAATTCTCCTTGCACTTATAAAACTTTCCAGGCATAAACTCTTTTCTTGGCAACTTAACACTAAAAATAGTGTTACTTAAAATAACTTTCAAAAGCTACAGGTATCATATTCCTAACTATGTATTTAAATCACAGAGATTTACTAAGCAAGTTATTGTTGTTTAATGTTCTATGTTTCTCATGCCCCAAGGGTTTCTTCTACAAGGCATAAAAAACTTCAGAGCGGGGCTGGAGAGATGGCTCAGTGGTCTAAAGCACCTACTTAGAACAAGCTTAGCAAAGCACAGGGACCGCAGTTCAATCCCCCAGCACCACATGCCAGCCAGCCCCGCCCCCTGGTGGGCTGAGCTGGCCACACACACACATAAATAAATAAATAAATATTTAAAAAAAAAAACAAACAAACAAACTTCAGAGCTAGGTGCTGTGGCACATGCCTGTAATCCTGGCACTCAGGAAGGTGAGCTGGGAGGATTATAAATTTGAGGTCAGCTGGGGCTTCCCAGTGAGTTTTAGGCTATCCTGGACTACACAGTGAGACAATGACTTTAAAACTCGTCCTTGTTAGACATGGTGGTGCATCCCTGTAATCCCAGTACTCAGAGGGGTGAGTCAGGAAGATCACCGTGAGTTCAAGGCCAGCCTGGGCTAAATTAGTGAGTTCAAAGCCAGCCTGTACTACACATGAAACTTCATCTCAAAATAAATAAATAAATAAATAAACAAACCCCACAAGATCCTCAGAGTGTTAAATAATTCAATTATCCAATTCTTATCTCAAGATCTTCATCTTTAGTTTATCTCAGCAAGGAATTCTCAATCTTTATGCTATAAGCACTTTAGGCTACAAGCACTAATGTAGTATTAATAATATTCACAAGGAAAGAGTATATATTGAAACGTCAAACAGTATTAAAAAAAATGGTGACAAAGCAATTACCACCATGGCAATCAATAGTATTTCTAGATATCAGACAGTATGTTAAGCATTTCACGTATGTTATCTCATTTAATGAGAAGGCATATAAAGTACTTTTACAGTGTTTTCCATGCTAAATCGAATTATTTTCCTTTATTAGAGGGTCATGTAAAAGGCACAGATTTAAATATGCAGTGCAGTGCATTTCAACAAAAGTAGCTAAGTGAGGTCCAGGTCAAGACAGAACATTTCCACTACCGGAGGAAGTTCTCCTTTCCAGTTAACTACCCATTCTACCTTTTGAGGCAAAAATCATTTTAATTTCTACCACCAAAGATCATTTTTTGTCTTTTCTTGAACTTCACATTAATGGAATCATTCCGTATGTATTCATTTGTACATTACACTTTTTTTTTTTCGGAACCAGGGATTGAACTCAGGCCCTTCCGCTTGCCAGGGAAGCACTTATTCCACTGAGCCATCTTCCCAGCCCTGTACATTACACTTTTTAGTTTCACCCATGTTTTATTTGCATGTCTAGTTCTTTTTCTTTTTTCCAATTGCTGAATAGTCTCCCACTGCTTATAGTGCAATATGTTGATTCATTTATCTACTCATGGTCATCTTGGGCTGTTTCTACTCTGGGCTATTATGAATAAAGTTACTGGCTATTGTAGCTTTCCTCATGACAGCCACCCTGTGTTCTCCAGGGTAGAGAACTATTTGTCTTCTTTTCTGCCCAAGCTCACTGTGTACAGCCAGTTTCTCCAGAAACTTCCCTTTTATTTTTTCAAGCAAACTTTCCCACTGTTAAAAAAATAAAAATAAAAAAATAAAGTTACTATGAACATTCACATCCTGGTCTTTTCATGGACTTATACTTTCATATCTCTTAGATACATAGTTTGGAGTAGGACTGCTGTGTTATAAACTGAAGCACATGTTTAATGTCATAAGAAATTGCCAAACAGTTTTCCAAAATGGTTGTACCATTTTGTAGTATTAGCAGTAACCTATGAATGTTCTTTCACATTTTTAGCAACATTTTTTCAGTCTTTTAAATTTTAACATTTTGGTAAGTATAAAGTAATACCTCACTGTGACTTAATATTCTTCTGGGGTCAGGGGTTTAGCTCAGTGGCACAGCATGTGCCTGGCAAACATGAGGTCCTGAGTTCAATTCCT